ATATTTTAAGAATTTTTAAAATAGTAGGTTTCCGTGACTTTTTCAAAAAGTCATTAGTATTAGCTAGCACTCCTCACATTCCCTACCATACCCACCCTCCCATTGTCCACCCCATTTAACATTTCTATTTCATTATTCTACTTCACATCAGTGCAATCTATCTCCCCTCCTGAAAGCACCCCCACAGGCCCTTATTAATTTTCTGATCTCTATGGGTGTTCCAAATGAAATGGACACATCTGAAGAGTCAAAGATAATATCAGTGAATGAGGGAAAACACGGGACATTGTCTTTCTGGGTCTCAGCTAGCTGACTCAGAATGTATATTTCCAGTTATATCAAACCACGTAATCCCATTTTTCTTAACAAGTGAGTAACATTCCATTGCATAAATGTATCACATGTTCATTATCACTTATTAGTTTATGGACAGCTAAGATTTTTCCATTTCCAGAATATTATGAGTAGAGCAGCAATGAACATAGATGAATAAGTATCTTAGTGGTAAGATATCCTTTGAGAATATGTCAAAGAGCGGTACAGCTGGATCATGTATTAACTCTACTTCTATTTTTTTGAGAAACATCCACAGTAATTACCATAGTGACTGCACCACTTTGTACTTCCACTAGCAGTCACTCTGGGTGAGGTTCATGCTAAGTTTTCTCTTCAGGTAGCTAGCATTGCACCTTCCAGTATGATCAAAGCTAGATATTAGCTATGAGGATTTGAAGTCAGCACTAGCTTGATTTCTCGATGTTTGATCTACTTTTCACATATGTAGTATCTTCAGTAATAGGGTCTTAATGTGATTTTCTGGTTAGTAACCAAGAGTAGGGGCAATGGCCAGTATTGTTTCAGGGTACTGTGGGACACTTGGCCAACAGCTTCAATAGAGGGAGTCTATTCCTGGCACTGGGTTTTTACTTGCTAGCCTATAGTATCTAGTAAAGGAAATGCCATCTACTTTTGTTTGTTTTGTTTTTTTGAGACAGGATTTCCCTGTAGACCTAGCTGGCCTGGCCATGATTTCATAAAGATTTGCCTACTCTTTTAAGATTAAAAGCATCACCCTGGCTCTTTTTCTTTTTCTCCATTTTTTTTTGTTTTGTTTTACTTTGGTTTTTTATTTTGGGGTCTTTTATTCCTTTCTTTCTTTCTTTCTTTCTTTCTTTCTTTCTTTCTTTCTTTCTTTCTTTCTTTCTTTCTTTCTTTTTGGACACAACTCTTTATTGGAAGCTGCAAAATTATGGAACAGTTCATGAACTTGCATGTCATCCTTGTGCGGGGCCATGCTAATCTCTGTATCATTCCAATTTCAGTGTGTGTGCTACCAAGGCAAGCACCCATCTAACTTTCTTCATGTGTTGTTTGTTCTTCTTTTTCTAAGGCCTTCAAGAGGCATCATTTAGTTATCAATGTGAGGTTTGTTTTTGTTTTTTTTTTTTGAAGTATACTGTTCTAGTTTGTTTCTCCATTGCTGTGTCAAAACACCCTGACCAATACCAACTTGGGGAGAAGGGGATTTATTCGGTTTACATCTCCTAGGTCATAGTTCATCACTTTGAGAGACCAAAGTAGAAACCCAGGGCAGGAACCTGGAGGCAGGGGCTGAAACATAGGCTGTAGGAGAGGAAGTGCCAGGCCTAAGCACAGGCTGCACTAGAGAACACAGCTTCTGCCTTGAGAGCGTAGCCCACGCTTCCACAAAAGAGCCAACCTAATCTACCCCCCAGACCTAGAGACGATGACACAAGCAGCCTGGATGAGGGGATCTATCAGGAAACCACACACCTGCTTATGGGACACTGGGGACAGGGGGAGAAATATATAACGCCTGCCCTTTCCAGCAATAAATGAGTCACAACACCTCACCTAGTGCCAGATTCCACCTGACTCCCGGTGTCTGTGTGTTTAATCCATACCACTCACACCCACCTCGGCCAGAACCCTTGTTCCCTGCAGCCCTTTGAGGACTGGACCTGCAAGGAAAACTGCAACAGCTGTTGCCCAAACAAGGTTCCTGGCCCCCCAGCATTGGCTACACCCCCAACTTCGGTTCATTCAGTGAGTAAGCCCCGGGTTCTGTCTGTCCCTTCGGCTGCTCGAGGGTGAGCAAGTGGCCCCCTCCTCTGTCCCCTCTACCCTGTTTGTCATATTTGTTGTTAAATCAGGAAGGCACACTGCACCGTGTGGTCCCGAAGCCCATGTCAACACCTTTTACTCCTTGGCTTGTCCCAGTGAGTTCACATAAGGGATGATCCACCCCGAACTAGGAGCCCAGGCTTCAGGTCATCCTGTTGCCTGTCCTGGAGACACCATGTGAGCCTATGGCCGAAGGTGTCACGGCCTTCGGAAGTCCCTCACTAAGCACAAGACATTTGGATCCGATACACCTTTACATGTTGGGGCAGTTTATGTCTGAGTTGCTCACCGTCCTTGTTTGCTTCATTTGCGCCCTCTTGGTAGTGACCCTTGCCTTTTACTTTTGTGGTGAGTTTCCCTTCATGGGACCTTCCCACAATGGGCAACTTACCCACAGTGCAAGGAGCCACAAACGGCAGCACTCAAATCGCTCCTCAGAACTCAGGGACTGAAAGTGAAACCAAAAGATATTGAAAATTTCTGGGATGAAGCCACTAACTTGGCCCCTTGGGTCTCTCCCTAGAATATGTGGGATCCTGATCTCTGGATGTGGGTCCTTTTCTTGGCCCGAAAAAGGGAAGTAGAATTGTGAGTCGCTCCCCCTGCCTCGTTTGTCCTGATCCTTTCAGCCATCATTACCAGCCTTAAGTCCTCCTCCCCTGAAGAAGTCATTTCAGCCTACAATAAGCATTGTCAGGATCATGCCAGTGTAGACCTTGCCATTACTTCAACCCCTGTTGACCTTGATATGGGAACCAGCCCTGAGATCGATACAGATGAGGAAGGGGCCCCCTTGCCTCTACCTCAGATCCCACTTTCAAAGCCACAACAATCAGAGACACCACCACCTCAGTACCCCTGGAAGGAGCTATATTCCACCTGCTCTGACATACCTCCCACTCATTATACCCCACCATGGCCCGCCCACCCCTTGCTGCCCCTTGCCGGCCATTGTCCGCCTTTCCAGTTAACATCGGCCCAAACGCTGCACAACAGCCATGGGTGCCCACCACTCTCACAGGCCTTGCACTCATCCGCATAGCTGCCAATGAATCAGGACTCAATTCCCCATATTTTGAGCAAGGTCTCCACCAATGGGCCATGCAGTTACAAACCCATTACAATTGGTATAACTTATTAAAGGTGGTTTTGGAGCCCTCAGTCTTCCTGAGCTGGCATTCGGCTTACGACAATCAGGCTGAAAATCAGACCTGTCTCAACTTTCAATATTACTCTGGATATGCTCACAGGATATCCCCCCCATTTCCTAGTCTACTATTGGCCTTCATGCTTACTACCAACAACCAACAAGTTAATGATCTGGTTTTCAAGGCCCTTAAGTGTTGATCCCCCCGTGACCCACAGGCATTCTTCTGCAATTTGATTCATCAAACAGGGGAGTCCTTCATGGACTTCCTCACTCGTGTAAATGGAGCAGCAGAATGGAGGGTGGAGTCTATACCCACCTGTGATATGCTTATCAAACAACTGACATGGGAGGGCCTAAATACCCCTACCCGCAATGCTATCGCACCTGTCTGCAATGATGATATTCATAAATGGGTATTCACCACTAGACACCTAGACCCCAGGACAGGGCCCATAGAGGCCCTGACCACCTCCTTAGAGGTGCTCTTATTACAAGGAAGGCCCACCCCCTCTGATTCAAAAGATGGCTGCTGGAGCTGCAGGAGGACAGGACACCTCTGCAGGGACTGCCTGAACACCAAGACCCACTGCTCCAAATGCAAAAAGGGATTTCATTGGGCAAAAGACTGTAGATGACAGCCCCAATCAGACTTGGCTCCTTTAAACTCCACCTGGGGCACCCCTCAGCCCCACAAGTAAGAGGAGGAACAAGACAGATGTTATTGACCCTTCCAATTCTTAAACACTCCCCCAAATGACCTTATTTCTGGATGGGATTGCTGTGAAGGGCCTAGTGGACATGGGAGCCAATGTTGCCATCATCACTGAGAGTGAGTCTCTTCAGTTCCCGATTGGAAATACCAGCTTGGCCCACCCATTAAGGAAGTGGGGGCAGCCAGAAGACAAAGCTGGTCATCCACCCAGTACACTGGAAGGACTTAGATGGGAGTAAGGGCATATTCACTCCCATAGTGGCCGACATCCCCCACAACTTGTGAGGTCAAGGTGTCCTGGAAGACATGGGTGTGGTCCTTACCACAGACGATCAGGCCTTTTATGATGATGTCATAGCCCATGATAAACTTAGCCTCTGTCAGGGAAATCGGAGCCCTGACCAGCACCCCCAATTCTAAGGGCCACTGCTCTCCCTGGGAAATCCCCTAAGGAGTCTCCCACACCGATCATGATTACCTGGCTCTCAACAGATGTAATCTGGGTGGAGCGGTGGCCTATTATAGAACCTAAATTGTCCTCAAAAGTTTGGTCAAGAAACAGCTGGACCTCAGACATTTGGAACCATCCACTAGTAAATATAATACTCCAATATTCGTTATAAAAAAGAAAGATGGCCATTTTAGATTGCTTCAAGACTTATGCTCCATTAATGACCAAATGGGAAAAATGGTCTCCACACAGACTGGCTTGCCCCACCGTGGTGCTATTCCTCCTTCTTATTATACTGTAACACTTGATATTAAAGATTGCTTATTCTCAACCCCACTGGCCCCCTAAGATCATGATCACTATGCCTTTATAGTTTGGGAACTGAACTTCCACAAGCTGGCCCTCAGATATCAATGGAAAGTCCTTCCCCAGGGAATGAAAAACAGTCCTACTATTTGTCAGATTTTTGTCTCACGAGCCACTTCAACCATCCCTCATAGTGTACAATTTATTCACTATATGAATGATATTCTGTTGTCCCATCCTAACCCACAATTTCTCCACAAGATAACCAGAGACTTACTCTCCCACCTATTGTCCCTTGGCTTGTCTATTGCCTTAGATAAGTTACAGGAGGTGCTTCCTTATGCTTTTTGGGGGCATACCATTTCGGCTGGCGTACACCCTATGGCCCCTGCCTTTAATTCAAAGCTGGTCTCTACACTAGCTGACTTTCAACAACTCTGTGGCACCATAAACTGACTTAAACCATTCTTGCCCGTTCCCTCGGAGGAATTGAGGGTGCTGTTTTCTCTCTTGGAGGGCCCCAGTCTATCGCCTTAGATAAGTTACAGGAGGTGCCTCCTTATGCCTTTTTGGGAAATACCATTTCAGCCAGTGTATGCCCTATGGCCCCTGCCTTTATTTCAAAGCTGGTCTATACACTAGCTGATTTTCAACAACTCTGTGGCACCATAAATTGGCTTAAACCGTTCTTGCCCATTCCCCCGGAGGAATCGAGGGCACTGTTTTCTCTCTTGGAGGGCCCCATCTGCCCTTCAGAAAAGATTAACTTAACTCCCCTGGCCATTGCCTTATTACAAAAGATCACTGGGTTATCGACAGATATGAGCCCTTACACTCCCTACAGGCTTTAGTGCTATTGACTTCTTCTGGCTTCCTTGGTGCCCTTTGGCAGACTGGGCCACTTATCTGGGCCCATCTCTCATACTTGGACCTCCAGCAGGTTTCCTCCAAGTTTGATCTGTCCTTTAACTTGGCAGTCAAACTGCGCACTCACTCAAGCTCAAAAAACCTTCAATAGAGATCACAACACTATTGTGTTCCCCTTTCCCTTCTGTAACCTACAGGTCCTCTGGACCAATTCCATAAGTTTTCAGACTATGATGTCAGGTTACCCGGGTACAATTGGTAATCACCTGTCATACTCAGAGCTCCAGCAGGTTTCCTCCAAGTTTGATCTGGCCTTTAACTAGGCAGTCAAACTGCGCACTCAAGCTCAAAAAACCTTCAATAGAGAACCCGAAGCTATTGTGCTCCCCTTTCCCCTCCATAACCTACAGATCCTCTGGACCAATTCCATAAGTTTTCAGACTATGATGTCAGGTTACCCGGGTACAATTGGTAATCACCTGTCCCAAGACAAAAGAATTCAGGCCCTTCCCACATTGCCGCTTGAAGTTAAGTCCCACAGCACTCCTTTTTCTTCCCTAATTCTCTAAGTGTCCATTGCTTTTTTGGACGCTAATAAGAACTTTGGGGTCCTGATACATCATCCTGATAAAAAAGACATCACCCACATTGTCCCTAATTCTGGCTCTGTCCAGTTGGGAGAATTTCTTGCTATACTTAAAACTTTAGCAGAGTG